GAGGAGGGGGAGGAGGAGGAGTCATCCTCTGTGGTCTTGGGGGACAGGGAAGAGGTGCATGCACCCAGTGGGGAGGAAGAGGAGATGTTAGCCTGGGGAGGGGTGAGGCATGTGGGGTGAGGGGTGGTCACAGACAGTTGATGGTGGTCAAGCTTGGGGAGCATCCTGGCTGGAGACGGGGTGGGGAGGGCAGCCCATGGAGGTCTAAGGGAGGCCTTGGAAGGAAGGAGATTTTCCAGAGTCAGGGAAGTGTAGCATGAGGAAGGGGGCTCCAGGATGAAGGTGATAGTGGGAGAGGAGCCCTCAAGTTCAGGGCAAGTGCCAGAAAGGTGGGAGAGAGAGGGGCGGGGCAGCTGGCAAAGCCAAGGCCACGGAGCTTCAGAGAGGAGTGTCTTTGGGTCACGGTTCATTGGGTAAGACAGCCTCTCCCCCTGCCGCCTGCAGATAACCTGAAGTCCGGCCGGGACAGAACCGAGGGACACGGGAACACCACACAGCCACGAAAAAGAGGAACCACAGCGCGGAGCTGCTCACAGATGCAGCTCACACACAAAGTGCAACAGGAGAACCACACGCAAAACGACATGATGCCCTTTAGAGAAAGGTCAGCCCTGGGCTGTTAGGACGCAGGGCCCGGGGAGGCACACTTAGGCGGTGACAGGATAAAGCATCAAAGCCAGACGAGAAGCTACCGCCGATGTGGTCATGTCAGGGGAGGAGGGGGACGAGGGGCCTCTGGGTGCGGGCGCTGTTCTAGTCCGTGCCCTGGGTGGTGGTGGCAAGGGCATTTGCTTTCTAAGTATTTGGTTGTGGTGTTTTTTTTTTTTCTGTTTTTTGTTTTTGTTTTTTTACGTTCAATGCAACCCACGTGAGTTACATTTCACCATTTAAAGGTTTTTGAAAAAAAGCAAGAAGGGGGCGCCTGAGCGGCTCAGTTGGTTAAGCGTCTGCCTTCAGCTCAGGTCATGATCCCAGGGTCCTGGGATCGAGCCCCACATCGGGCTCCTTGCTCAGTGGGGAGCCTGCTTCTCCATCTGCCTGCCGCTCTGCCTATCTGTGCTCTCTCTGTGTCAAATAAATAAATAAAATCTTAAAAAAAAAAAGCGAAAAGGCGAGAAGGCTCAACAGCTTCTGATCTGCAGAGGGAGCCTCTGGGCGTGGCCTTGAGGAGGTGACCCCTGGTGACCTTGGCCTGTGCTCTGAATGCCAGAAGGCGGTTTGGGGGACAGTGAGGTTGAGAAGGGACAGAGGGAGGGGGAGAGGCGTGGGGATGGACAGAGAAAGGACTTTCAGGAGAATGAGGAGATAGGCAGGGAGGGGGTGTATGGGAGTCCAGGGCTGGAGCAGGGGTAAGAGCAGGGAGGGACTTTACTCTCCGAGGGGAAGGAAGAAGCTTGAGGCCAGGGCAGGTGTAGACAGGTGTCCGGATCAGAGGCAGCGTGGGTGGCAGGGCTCGGCAGTGGGTGGGGTGGGTGCAGAGGGTGGGCGGTGAGCCTGAACCAGGGCGTCAGATTTGCTGCCTGGCACTCACCCTTCCCCCCTTTGCCCTTCCCTGGGCAGCCATCCACCCTCTGGGTTGCCAGGCCAAGGACCCGTCGCGGGCAGGCCCAGGCTTCTGTCCTGTGATTTGCCTCTGCAGCCGGCAGAGGGCAGCCACCTCCCACAGATGCTCTGCCTTCAGGTCTCGGAATAAGGCCGGCCTGAGCAGGCCCCACAGCTCAGGGGTGGGGAAGGGTGGGGGAGAGGCATAGGGGGCTGTCTTGCTCTCCAGCCCCACACACGTCCTTCCTCCAAAAGGTCCTGCCCATCTTCCTACACCTGCCTGTGAACTCCCATCTCCGAGGTTCTGATGGGCGTCCTCTCCCAAAAATCACCCGTGGGGGTCAGAGAGGTGCAGTGCCTTGTCCAAGGTAACACAGCAAATCCCAAACCTCACTGGACCTGGATGTAGTTTAGAAAGTGTACCAAACACACACATGAACACACACACACCCCAACTAAATCTTTGCAAATCAGACAGGATTCTTCTATCCACCTGGGAAGCCACACTATGGACACTAGGCACAGGCAGGGCCTGCCGGGGTCATGGGGCCCAATAACTGGAGCTCCCCCTTGTTGAACGCCTACCACTGGCCAGGCCCTTTCCATACTTCTCCTCTAATTCAAACAATGAGCCTGCAGGGGAGGCATTTCCACTCCTACTTCCCAAGGAGGAAGCCGAGGCCCACGGGGGCAGGGCTGGGTGATCTGTTCGAGGCTGCCCCACCCATAGGGCCCGAGCTGCAGGCTGACTTGGGTCTCGCTGAACGTTGTTGAAGGACTGTCCTACAGGCCCAGGGAGCCAAGCCTGGGCTGGGGAATCAGAGCTACGGTCTTCCAGGGGACTAGGTAAGATGCCACTCTGCCCTTGAGTTTCTCCCTTCCCCAGGGACTGGGGGTGTTTGTCCTTGGCCAGGTGTCTACTGGGGGAGGGTAGGTATGCACATCACCTTCAGGCTTGTACGGTGCTCTTAGGGCCCATCTGGGCTGCTTTTCTGAGTCAGAGGGAGGAAGATTCCCAACCCCCTACTCCCCACCCCACACCTCCCTGCCCCAGGCCTGGCCAGGCCTATTTCCTGGTGTCGCTGCACCCCTACACCAGGCTGCGAGGGGCCAGTTTTACTCCCTCTCAGTACCCTCCTCTGCCGATAATGAAACCAGCCAATAATGTAGTGTTTCTGCCCCCACCCATGGGATTTCCTCTGCCCAGAAGGGGCATCTCCTGGTGGCATTCCCCCTCCTGGCGAACTGGTCTGATCTCTGTAGGCTCTTCCTACAGGCAGACCTCCTGGTTCTCTGCTTCTTTGGGCTCTCTTTGTGCTGCCTCTAAACACAACTTCCTCTCCACAAGATGTGGAAGATGGTTTAAAATGCTGTGTTCCTCGTCTCAGGGAGAGGTGGGGTCTAGACCCTGCCTTATAACTGGACGGGTCTTAGAGAATTGCAAAGGCAGCACTGGGAGGTTCGGGGACTTCCCTGCAGCCACTGGGGACACTTGCTGTCCCCCAGGGAAGAAGCCCCTGAGATGGCCAAGCTGTGAGGAAGCCCCAGCTGATGGTGTGGGAGGAGCCGTGTCCGCCCAGCGTCCGGGCTCCAGCCCCCTGCCCTCCCATGTCAGCCGAGGACCCAGCCACCATGGATGGAGACCAGCCCTCACTGCTATGCTCGGCTTAGCTCCTGACACAAAGAACAGAGAGAGAATAATACAAGAAAAATGATCACTTTAAGTCACAATGTTTGGGGTGGTTTGTCATGCGGCAGTAGATAAATGGCACCTTCTCTCTGGCCTCTGGAGCCCTTCAGTGGCTCCCACACGCCCTCGTGATAAACTGCCAGTTCGAATTTCAAGCCATCTCTCCCAGCAAAATTAGACTCCCTTCAGAAATTGGCCGTGGCCACTCTGATCATGGGCCAGCCTTCCTGAGCCCCTCGCTATCTCTGAAGCCTTGTTCCCTCTGTCAAGAAGCCATCCCCAATCCTCTTCCCCCCAGACTGGGACTCCCCTTCCCTCCAGGGACCAGCAACACACTCTCCCTCCAGCTCCTGGGGCACCCTGGCAGCACGGAAGGGCCTCCCATCCTCTCTGCAGACTCTGGTGGCATCCCGAGATGGGGAAGGAGGGCCAGGCAGGCCCCCCAGGACTGTTAGCCAAGGACACTGCTCCAGCCAGATTTGCCATGCTCTGATCGCAGAGCTCCCGCAGGTCCCCTTAGGATGTCTGAGAGGCTACTCTGGGCCAATCTAAGCTATCCGATACCTTGGGAATTAGCCTCATTTCGTTAAAATAAAATGGATACACTCGGCCTGTGCAAATTGGCGCTGGCCCTCCCCAGTTCCTGAGATCAGAGCTCTGAGCAAGGGCCCAGTGCTGGGGGGCTGTCTCCAGGAGGCAGGGCCTGAAGAGGGGGGAGGGGGAATTGTGCTAAGCATCTGCCGAAGGGGACAGCCCTCTCCCCGGGCTCAGGGCTCATTCTGACCAAATGGCCCCTCCCTCACAGGTACACCCAGGGTCACACCTGTAAGTCCATGACCTCGCTACCCTTGGTCGCTGCCCACCCAGTGGAGTGGGGTGGCACAGTGGGACAGCAGAACCCTGTGGCCACCACAATAGGCTCTTCCTCTCCCTCATTCTTTCTTGAACTTCATCACCACCGGAAGGAGGGAGGGTCAGGGAGGCCTGAGAGCCCCTCCGGCTGGAGGGCACATGAGGCCGGGGCTGGCCCACCCGAGGTCAGGCAGCAAGGGCATGGCCAAGTGGGAGGGGCTGGACTCCAGGCCGCCCAGGGCGGGCCTTGGCAGAGGCAGGGTGCCTCGGGGGTGGGCGCCTGTGGGTGCTGCGAGTCTGGATGATCACTTCACCTGCCACCACTCTTGAGGCAGCCCGGGTGGCTCTGCTTCTGGATCAAGGGCAGTCCAGAGCTACAGAAGGTCCTAGAGCCAGGGCCCTGCTCACCCCAGATCCCTGCTCCCCATTCCCCTTGAATGTCAGCCGAGTCTGTGCCAATTGCTGTTTAAAACAGGTTCCTGAGGGGGAGGCAGTTGCTTCTTTGTTCAGCTCAAGGTTACAGCAAAGAAACAAAAGGAGTGCGTTGTCTCTTCCTTCTGTTCCTTATTTTCCTTTCTGCCGCCTCAGAGACGGTGCCTTTTGTGCTTAGCACAGTGAAGCTCAGAGGGGTGGTGAGGCCTTGGCCAGCACTGACCCCAGCCCCAGCCTAATTGGCCCCTGCAGGAGCCAGGGAGGCTGATTAGGCTGGGTCCAGACAATGGGGCTGGGGGTGGGGCAGGCTTGGGGGAGGAGCTTCCTGGAGGATGCTCCATCTTTCCATTCCTATTTCCCTTCCCAAGCTTCCCAGAATCCTGCCCCACCTTCAAGGCTCTACCTACCCTGGGCCCTCCTCCTCCAGGAAGACCCTCTGGACCGCCCCGCGCCCAGCCATCGATCACTCCTTCTCAGGTCTGTGGCTCAGAGTCCTGCCTCTCCTGGACTCAGCTTGGGGCTGGCCCTTGCTTCCGGCCCAAGGAACTGCAGGGCCAGGCACTCAGGAGGCTGTTGAGGAGCTAGACCCCAGCTCTGGCCTCTGCTTATTCTTCCACAAGGAATCTCTGATCGCACTGGTCACCTCCTGCCATACTCCTCTCTGGTTAGAGCTTTGCTGCCTTTGAATGTCCCTTGTGGGCGGGACGGGGGAGAGCCCTGGCTAGAGTCTAGAATCCTGGGTTCTAATCCACACTCTGCCACAGCTGGTGTATAACCTTAAGCAAGGCCCTTGCCCACTCGGCGCCTCCTCATCTGCAAGCCGGCGTGTCGGTCCCGGCTGGGGGTGGGCTGCCAGCTTCTTGCCACAGGCGGGGAGCAAATGCCCTGGCGACTGGGGCGCAGTCACTGACCCACGCGGCGCAGGGCCCCTGGCCAGGCGCTGATCCACTTCCTCTCCCATGCCCCCATCTACCTCACCCCCTTTCCCTCACAGCCCTCGTGAGCTGTGCCCAACCCGCAAGGCTTCTCTGCCTGACTGCCCCGAGCTAGCCCAGGCCCAGCCACTTTCTAGGACGTAGGGCTAGACCTCCAAGAGGCCAGACCCGGGCCTGGGTTAGCAGGAGAAATGGTCACTTTAAGGCCCTCCTCTCTTCCCTTTCTGGGTTCCTGGGGGCGAGCTCAGGTGGCAGGGGCCGGGGCTGGGGCTGGGGTCCTGTGGAAGATTCCCTTGGCCACGGGCCTGTGGGGGCCACCGCCTGCAGGCCTGATCTTCTGGTCCTCCCTGCCGCTTGCTCTGGGATCACTTCTACTGGTTGCCAGGCAACACACCCCAACACACTGCCTGTTAGGTGAGCCAGCCCCTCCTCCTGGGACCAGTGGGTGTGGAGGCAGACTTACAGAGCGGCTGTCCCGGAGGCCTGGCGCAGCCTTGGGGGCTGGAGGGGACGGGGACTCTGGCTCCCCCATCTTTCTTGCTGGCCGTCCTGTTCCCCGGGATAGGTCCCTAGGGACTGTTGCTACAACAAGTGTCTGCCTGGTGACTGAGCCCAGCCCTGAAATGGAGCAGGCCGACTCGAGGGGCCACTTTCCCTTTGTTCCAGGGTGGGGAGCCTCTGGGTGGGGTAGCTGGCGTCAGGCTAGGCTCATTCCTTGGCCAGGGAACTGCAAGGAGATGGCAGGGCCTGGGAGGGCTGTGGGGCCGGGAGCCCAGGAAAGGGCAAGGCCCCAAGGGCTCCGGCCTTCTGTCTCCCCCAGCCCCAGTCTCGGCAACCCTCTGCCCCTAGCCTGCCCTGAGGCTACACCTCAGTCTCCCTCTTCTTCTCCCGGTCCCTCTCCCCTCTCTCCTCCAGCGCCACCCCTCAGCAATCTTCCCCCACCACAGCCCGGGCTGGGCTCCTCTCGCAGCTGGACAGCATGGCCTGGGGCCCCACGCCTGGCCCTTAGGGCCTTCCCATCTCTGCTTTCCTGATGGTCTGGACAAATTCCTTTCCCTTTAGTTCAGCGGAGACATGGGTGGATGTTTTTAAAAGGAACTCACTGGGAAGCAAAGGGAAAACAAACCCAAACAGAGCAGCCCACCACCTAGAAACGGCCTTGGTCACTAAGGCAGACATCTGTTTTAGCCACCCTTGGCCTGGGTTGCAGAGACCCCCGCTGAGGGCACGGAGGGGTCTGTCTGGCCTTTTCCCCCGACTGTCTGTCTCAGGCAAGCCTGGCCCCAAAGCCTTTCCTGATAAGCACCCCATCTACGCCCACCTAAGTGCCTGCGCGGAGCTGGGACTCCATAAATACTTGTTCACCTACTTAATGAACAGATGAGTGAATGCCAGGGGTCTCTGGGGCCTCAGTGGTGGCACAATAATCATCCCTGATTGGACAAGCCAGGACAGACAGTTTGACCCGTTTCAAGGGCTCCACCCTGGTCTCAGGAACCCCCCAGCCCTGGCTGCTGGGTCCTAGCTCAGGACTCTGCATGCACGGGGGCCTCTGGCCTCGGTTAGTGGTGCAGGGGGGCCCTTACTCTTCTCATGTGCAGGCCTCCTTTTTCATTTAATTCACTTGGAGATCCTGGGCAGATCCTTGTTCTTAACGGGGTTTCAGGGACAGGGCAGGGGAGTTGGACAGGACAAGCCCGGCGCTGCTCTGTGGCTCAGATCAGAGCTGGCTGGCAGCAGGGAAAGACAGTGGGCCCCGAGTTTGCTCAGTGCTGGGTTCCAGTCCCCGCTCGGCTACTCGTTATCTGTGTGGTGTTGGCCAGGGCGGTCCCGAACCTCTCTGAGCCAGTTTCGTGGTCTGTAAGACCAAGAGCCTGACCTTCCCCATCTCCCAGAGCTGTGGGAAATTTAACGAGCTTGTGGGTGCAAAGCTCCAAGCAGAGTACCTGGCGCAAGAATAGCTCTGGGAATGTCACTCCCGCCTCTGTGTGACTCCTGGGGGCTCTGGAGGGTCGAATCCTCCTCTAAAATGAAAATGAGGCTCATGATGGAGATTGGCCATCCTCTGTGGAAGGCACCAGCCACCCAGATGACATCCCCGATGTGCGCTTACACCTTCCTGATCCTGCCCCAGGGAAACAGGCGGCTGTATTCTGCTGTACATGCCCCTCCCGTCCCAAGACCTGGGGCCAGAAGCCTGCGATCAAGGCAACGCTGCCCCATGCCCCCTCCCCACCCGCCTGCAGCCACCACCTCACTGAGAGGGGCCCAGCGCTCCTGCACCTGCTAAGCTGCCAATCGATTGAATCTGCTCCCATCCTCAGGCGTGCCATGAATTTTTCATCAAAGGCCTGTAGACTTTGGGAAACGCACAGTTAGAAGCACCATCAATAATGTACCACGTGGAGGCATCGGCCGCGCTCAGGCAGGCCCCAGACATGGGCGTCTTCCAGCCCTGCTCTGGTGGGGGGCAGGAGGGGCACCAAGACCCCTCAGGGGGTCTATCACTGGACACAGAGCAAGTGTGGGATGCTGACAGGGAGAGGACGCCATTCCCGAAGGGTTGAGCCGGCCCCTTGAAGTCCCAGGGGGACCTGCCTGATCATAAGACACTTCATCTATAAAATGGGTGCTAAGGAGCCCCCCACCCCTGAAAGTGTAGTGAGACACAGCCACTATGTCAAGATTAGGGTTCTTTGTGGGGTGGGGGCCGCCTTCCGTGGCGTCCAGGAAGCAGGGCAGGCAGCAGGTTGGATGGGGAGCAGGAAGAGGGGAGCACAGAGCCTCCTGGTGGCATTGGAGGGGGGCTTTATTCACCCAGCTTGGCGGTCAAGGTCCACCGTAATCCCAGCCCCACCCTCCTCCAGCCCCACAGCTCAGGGTGGGGGTCAAGAGCAGAGGTTTGCAGTTCCTCCACCGACCGAACTGAGGCGCCCTCACCCTGTCTCTGCAGGTCCATTCTTCAGAGCTGCCTCAGACAAAAGCTTTTCTCACCCTCCTTGGCTAGAAGGGATGGCGGCTTCCTTTTCTGATTTTCTAGAGCCTGCCTCAGTCAGGTAGTGACACAAGGGCTGGTGCTATTCTAAATACGTTATACACGTCCATCTAACTTCATGCCTCCGGTAACTCAACCAGGCAGCTGCCACTGTACCCATTCTACAGAGGTGGGGAGTGAGGCAGGAAGGGGTCAGAGCACTTGCCTCAGTGGGAGAGCTGGTTCCTGAGTCCAGTCTTCAGTCCCTGCTCAGAGCCCGGGGCGGGCCCTCCTGTCCCCAACTGGCCTTCCAGCCTGTGAGGGCAGGGCTCATGCTCTCTGCTGACTCACTAAGGCTGGGCCTCCCAGCTCAGTGGAACTCAGGGCAGGGCACACAGCCATCGGTCCCCACTGGCTGTTGGGCTCCCCCCGCCACACACACACAGGGTCCGGGCCTGGCTCCTACATTTTGAGGCTGTCCTGAACACAGCTCCTCAGGGCAAGAGACCTCTGGCACCCAGGAGGGGAGCAGAGATGGACTGAGATGGTCCATAGCATTGCTTCTGGCATGCTGTGGGATTTCTGCCCCCTGTCTAGCTGTGAGCCTCTGCTCCAGCCGAGGACGGGGCTTTTGGGCACCCGGGGTTCTGGGTCCCTGCACGTGGGCCGTGGGCCCTGAGACACTAGTAGCTGGAGGCCCAGCATGTGCCAAGTGAGCATGAGTACTCATTTCTAAGACCTTCTCTTAGCAGAGATGCCAAGAGTGGGCCTGAGCCCACCCCCCTCCCCTCCCACCCCCTGCCAAATCCCAGCCCCCGTGGAGCCATCTGTGGCTGAGGACTCACGGGTTCCTGGGATGGGCCCAGGGCAGGGGCCGACTGGGGGCGGGTGGGCAGGGAGGTGGGTAAAGCCCCCTCCTCGTGTGCTTCCCCGGTAGTGTGCTGCATGTGGTCCTAATGCGTCTACCGCCCACCCGAGACCTCCATGACCCTATCGGCGGGGGGCACCTTCCATTTATGGGGGACCGAGACTACTGTCCTTCCCCCAGCCCAGGTCAGGGGTGCTGGAGGCCCTCCGGTTCAACACACACTCTCTAGTAGCCCCATTTGGGCACCGGGGGTACAGATGTGACCAAGGCTTGGAGAGGCTAGTGTTGTAGTGGATGTGGTAACAGGCACGGGGTGATGCGGTCCATCAGTATGGTAAGGCCGGGCCCCTTCGCACCCTGGGGTGTCAGCAGAGGGGTGAAGGAGGCCATCCCAGAATGAGTTTGGGAATGGGTTTTGAAGGACGAGTAAGAGTTTGCCAGGTGATAAAGGAGTGAAGAAGGGGTGTGTTCCTGGCAGGGGCAAAGGCGTGACGGTTAGAAGCAGCCTGGCACCCGGGGGAAGTGTAGACAGACCGTGAGGACATGTGGTGAGGAGGGGTGGTGGAAGATGAAGCTGGCGTGGCTGCAGGGTCTAGTCACGGGGCATTGAATGCCAGGCCAAGGCCCAAATGTGGAGCCTGTTATAGTCAGGTGAGGTGGGCTGCGCTGGAGCTAGATACTATGAATTTCCAAAGATAACTTCCAAGAGAAGGCCTGGTTTCCTTGTGAACATGCCCAGCGGGCTTCACAGGTCCCCAGAGCCCAGAGAGGGTGAGAGGTTGCCCAGGCCGCCCCCCGCCCGCCCCAGCTCTGTCATGGCAGAGCCAGCTCAGCAGTCATCCCCCCGGGTCAGGAAAGCCAGGCCGTCTCGAGAATCTGTGCCGCGGGCTGGAGGCACAGACCAGCAGAGCTGGAAGATGCTGTGACCCTTCTGGAGGCTAGAGTAGCCCTGAGAGGAGTAGGGTTGGGATGCCGGCCGCCGAGAGTGTTGGGATGGGGAGACAGCCAAGGGCAGGCATCGTTACGATGCTGCCTTTTCTCAGTTGTCTGGGTGGGCCATCTGCCTGGCATCCTGGGGCCACCAGGCCATGCCCACCCCGCTCTGGGGGCTGCCCAAGTCTAGACCTCTGGACCCTCCCCCTTGGCCCTTGCTACTCAAGAGAAACAGAGACTTAGCAGGGGCTTCTCAGCCCCCTCCAACCCTGTGACTCAGTGATGTCACTGTTCCTGGAACAGGCACCTTCCCGACCTCAGGCTGTGGGAGCCAAAGCAGGGACCAGAACCAGAGCCCTGCCTCTCAGCCCCCAGGGGCAGCCAGTCTGCCAGGGGATGGCTTGACTGGGGTCTGGGGGCTTTCTCTGGAGGACAAGGCCCTGCCCGGTGGGGATCAGGCTCAGAGGGATTCTGCCAGGGCCTCAACCGAGCATAGCTCCACAGGGTGAGGAGGAAGGGGTGTGGAAGGGAGGTGAAGGAAGACAAAGTCTTGGCCGCACCTTCAGGAGGCCTAGACTGAGGGAGGAGACGGTGCCCCACCCTGAGGAGCCCCAGTCTGAGGGGGGGTGCCATGTCCCTGCTCTGGAGCACAGCTGAGAAGGAGGCAGGACCCATACACGCCTGATAAGGACACATGAAAAGAACAGATGGTGCCAACAAGTGCAAATTAATTGAGCGAAGCCTGTGTACATAGGCGCTGTGAACAGGCGGCCTGACAGGCCTGGGAGAGGTTTGGGGGGGTAGGGCAGGGAGTGGGGAGAAGCTGTAACGAGCACTTATCGATGTCTCCCTGGATCTGCAGCCGGAGCACGGTTATTGACAAAGCCTGTCTATAAATCTCCCGACCACGGCTCCAGGAACCTTAATTACGGGGCCTCATTACCCCTCACACCTCTAGGCACAGGGGACCAGCCGGGCAGCTGCTGACACGGTGGCTGGCCCGTGACAGCCAGCCTGAACCCCTGCAGCAAGAGATGCCCCACTGGGATGCGAGGGGGGGGGCACGGTTTAGAGTCCCGTGCCCTGCGGAGCCGAAGGAGCTCAGCCTCCAGGCCAAGGACACAGGGGTGAAGACTTTGGAGCCAGGGAGCGCAGGGGTTACACTCCGGTTTTCCCAGTTAGTGTTGACTCTGGAGAGCGCTTTGCCCCTCTGGGCCTCAGTTTCATCGTCTGTACAATGGGGAGAGGGCTGCGGTGAAGCTTAAGCAGGCCAAGTCTGTCCAGGGTCGAGCACCATGCCTGGCTCCGGTGTGTGTGTAACACCCGCCCCTTCCCTCTCTCCCTGCTCACCCTGCCTGAAGCTCCCGGAAGAGCAAAGCAGCCCCGGGGGCCAGAAGCCGGCCTGGATATCACTTCACAGCATCATATAAAGCCACTTTCTTCTTCTTTTATTGTTTTTATTTAAGTAGGTTCCACACCCAGCACGGAGCCCAACTGTGGGGCCTGAACTCACGACCCTGAGATCAAGACCTGAGCTGAGATTAAGAGGTGGAAGCTCAACGGACTGAGCCACCCAGGTGCCCCTCATATAAAGCCACTTTCCGACCAGAATGGAGCAAGACAAAAACAAGTCCACTCCGTAGTCACGCCTGAACACAGATAAAACAGAAACATTGTTCAAAGCACAAAAATGACCAGACAGCAGCCTTTCCTGGCCAAATTGAGTACCTGCTGCTTCTTCACCAAGGACAGTTTTAGCCCTGTTTTGTCCCTCCTGCCTTCTGGGTGAGAACTAGCTCACCTCCTGAGCACATCCTACCAGAGCCGAACCCTGTGTCCTTGAAACCTCCCCCGAATCACCTAACTTGAGCCGAATCCTTTCTGTCCTTTCCAACACACCCTTCCTGATGCCTACCCCCCACCCCACCCCTTGGCCCCAACGAATCAATAAACCCAACTCAGTTTGATTATAGGTGTGTTCTTGGCTGTCTTTGGCTGGAGGGGATTGGGATTCTAGTACAGAGCGCGATCTCTTTAGATTCTTGTGTTCTCCAGGTGTCAATTCTAAGCTATTTTCAACCCCTACCCTTTTCGTCATTTCTGTGAAGGTGTGTGTGTCCCCTACTTCCCATTCTTTGTCCTCTCCTCAAGCCCCAGAGCTGGGCTGCGGGGTAGGGGGAGAGGTCCAGGGGGCCACCTGCCAGGTCTCTGGTGTGGGGGAAGGAGCCCCAGGCAGGACATTTGAGTATCTGGAGGGATCCAAGGAGGCTGAGACAAGCTTGAGCTGAGGGAGGGACAGTGGACGGAAGAGGGACTTGGGGGGCTGGAGCTCCCTCTTTCTCAGCGCTCACCTTAGCCCCTGGAAAGCCAGCACTGGGACAGTCAATGGAAAGGGAGGGTCTTCTTTTCCAAAAGTGCAGGCCTGGTGAGCTGGAAGGAGCGGACTCCCAGGGGCTTTCTGGAGGGGAGGCTGGTGTGGCTGGGCAATCCTGTAAGGTACTTGCAGTTTGGACATGTGTAGGTCCCTGTCCCTGGGGGCACACCTACTTTGTCCCTGCTGCTCCAACCCCATCTAGATTCTTCCTTAGGCGCCACTATATCCTCTCCTCACCCCCCATCCTCACTGGCTGGACATTTTCTGGCTTGTTTGTCCCTCCTGCCTTCAGCCTAGGCGAGACCATTCTCCGCAGCCCCGAGTTGCTACAAACTATACTCCATATCTGCCAGGCTTCACAAAGTGTTTCTGCTTTCAGACTCTTGGGCAATGCTTCTGGAACCCCATGTGTTACCCTTTGCCTTTGGAGACTAGAGCCTCATGGCGGTTGGTCCCCTTAGAGACCCTTCTCACCTGGCTTGTCACACGGCCTCTCCTGGCTACTTTCCTCCTCATGACTCACCGTCTCCCTTGAATTCTCCTGGGCCCAGACATTCACAACACAGGCAGCAGTGAGGGAAGGGGGCTCTCCCATCACCTGGGGTCCCCCCAACTCAGTCTCCTGGGGTCCCTGTGCCCCTGCCCACCTTAGGCCCAGGCTTCGGTCTCAGAATCCAAATCCTGATTAGCCAGACCCTCTGCACTAAAGCCCATCTTCACTTCTGCCTCAGGACTTGCCTCCCAGGGTTTTTAAGCTCCCCTCCCACTTTTAAGGCCCAGGCCCCAGGCCCCTCCTGCTGAGATGCCAGTGAAATTCTCAGCTGGGCAGAGGACTTGGAGAGGTAGGGCAGAGACCCATACAGAGTGGGAATGGATTCCCCAAGGGAGACTGTCTGATAGGAAGGTCTTGGAGGGGCTAAGAGAGATGGAATCTGGCCTCTGACTGCCCTCTCCCCTACACTGTCCTCTTCACCTTGATGTGAGCGATAAGACACCAGAGGCCCTTCACAACTCATAGAGCCCCCTCCAGGCACCTCAGGATTTTTGCAGCCAGCCTACATCAGCCCATTTCATAGCTGGAAAGACTGAGCTTCTTGTAGGTGCTGGCTGGCAGCTGAGCAGAAAGCAAACTTCCTGTCTCTGATCCAGACCTGTCATCTCCCTGGGTTATGTGGCTGCCTAGGAAGGGGCACTTTATGCATTTCTTGGACACATTTACTGAGCACCTACTCTGTGCCAGGAACCTGGAGTGGGGGTGTGGGAGGGGACATAAGGCAGGCAGAGGGGAGGAGTCAAGGCTTGAAACTGTGAGTGGATACCATTAGGGTTAGGCGTGGGTAGAATATTCTGGGTTGGGGCATAAGCTTCAGAGGTCACGGAGGCCACCAGGCTGAGGGACTCATGCTGCAGGTGAGGGAGCCAAGGACAGGTTTAGGGTAGGGGCCACACCTAGATTTGTGCCTTGGATAAGTTACCTGCTGCCTATGTCCTAGACCGGAGAGGGCAAGTGCGAAGGAGGGCCCCGTCGGGGCTGTCAGCTCCTGGTCTCTGAGCCAGCTTGCAGAGGGAGCCCCCCCCCCCATAAAGGACAGGGAGAGACCTTCTTCTTGGCCTCCATAAGGCTCTCCCCCACTGTGAGGCAGGGTTCCCCGCGCAGCCAGAGGAGGGACAGTGAGATGCCTCTAGTCTCCCCAAACCTTCCTCCAAGAGGGTCCAGCCGCCAGGCCCTTGCCCTTGCTGGCCCTTCCAACTCCCCAGACCACTATTCAGCCATCCCTAGGGTCCACCCTGCTGAGGTAGATTTGCATATCTGAGAGTGAAAAGCTGCTGCAGAAGCTTAGCACATTGGGGCTGCTGAGCCCCCCTTTTGTCTGTTTGAGTAAGAGCTGGCTAAAGGCTGAAGGATAATTAGTCCCCTGTGGGCAATGCTGTCCCCCCTCCTTGAAGATTTAAAGGCACAGCCCACCTACTCAGCCCATTTCTCCTCCCCAAGGTCCCCCTCTGCTCCAGCCCCTCTCCTGCAGCCGCTCCCGCCCCCTGCACTCGGTCCTGGCGGCTGAGGAGGGGACGTCTGCCACTGGCAGGAGCCGATGAATGGGCATTTTATCTGATTAAACTGGGAGTGAACTGACCCTTCTCTATTATCTTTGGGCCTGATTGGATATTTAACACCAAATGTATTGTGTGTGTGTGTGTGTGTGCGTGCACGCGCACGTGCACAGACTGGGTTTTTCTAGTCCATGTCAGGAGGAAATTGGATTGTACTGAAAGGCATTTAATCGGAACTCAGGAGCACAGCCTAATAGAGTCACCGCGCTGGGGGAGGGGCTGTTCGGCCCTTAGCCTTGGACAAGCAGGGCCCCTGCTTTGGGCCCTGTGTGTTAGAGGGTCCTGCTCTGGCCATTCCAGGGCTGCCAACTTCCCCATGGGCTGAGAGTTGGTAGGGCCAAGGAGCTGCACCCAGCCAAAGCCTAAGCACCCTTCCAGACCACAGCCCCCAGTACCTGGGACCCTGGAATTCCCTCCTGTCCCAGGGCCTGTTCTCCTGAGGGCAACGTGGAAGGTCTCACATGGTCATTGGGCCCTTAGGGTATGGGACTGAAACAGCTTGGTTAGAGGTAAAGGGGACATCTCCTAGGATATGGGGGACTAGGAGCAGGGCCTGGTAGCTGCTCTCCCCATGTTGCCAGGGTCCAGTGTGGAATCTGGGGATTCTCAGATGTGGTTAATAAGGCATATTTGTGAAGGAAGAATAGGACGTATTTAATAGTTTGTTAGCTACAGCTTAACTGATGACTTATCGTTCTTTGGAGTTCAGACTTATGGTGTATAGACCTCTCCGCCTAGACTCCCAAAGGAGGGGACCTGCAGCCCCAGAGTTCTGTTTTGGTGTTTTACCAGCAAACAGAGGCAGCCCTCCCACCCAGACAGATGGACTGGGAACGTGGTGAGTCAAACTCACCAGGCTGTTGACTTGTGAGTCACAAGGCCAAGGTGGCTGCAGGAGCAGGCACGGGCCGCAGACCCCAGACCTGTGCTCGACCAATGAATGCTCTCCCTCAGTTTTGCCCTAGGGTCCTGGGAGGGCTACTGAGTTTCCCGCACTTTCCCCAACTGCAAAGTTGGGATGATAACTGTCCCTCCTTCATCAGGTTGGTGCAAGGAGGCAATGAGATTATGGTGAAAGTTCTGGGAGCAGAGTAAGAGCTCAATAAAGATTGATGGATATAACTGGTATTATTAAAAGGAGGGCTAGGCTGGCAGTTTGCAGAAGGAATGGGCTCCATTTCCCAGGTGTCACCCCTGGTTCTGTAGTCCCTCCCACCCTCACCGATCAATGCTTCAAGCCCTCAGCAATTTACGGCCTCATCATCTTGGCTTTATTTACTGAGAGAGCTGCGCCTCTGCCCCCCCCACCCCCCCAGTGCTTAATCAGGAGCTGAGATGGGCAGTGATAGAGCGCGGTGCCAGCCGTCTTGTGAGGAGCAGAGCCAGAGGTCGTCCTACCTCCCTCCGCCTTGTTTGCCCGATGAAAGAGGAAACCATCAAGACCAGGCCCCTCACTCCACAGAGGGGAGGCTGGGGCCCCAAGAGGGGAGGGGTGCAGCCAGGGCAACTGCTCAGGTCAGTGGCAGAGTCAGAACCGGACCCAGGTCTCCAGGTGCTCCTCCCAGCCCAGGCGCCCTCGGCTGGTAGTTTTCTCGCTCTTCTGGGGAGCCTCCACTCCAGTGTGCCCCTCACCCACATCTCCTCTCAGCCTGATCTTTGGGTGCTGGGGGCAGGCCCTGATTTGGTCAACCCTCTGTCCCATCTATCCCTTCAGTTCTCGCCTCCACGCCCTAAGACCTCCTCATCTCTCGCTGCAGGAATATTCTCCTCATTTTACGGAAAAAGAAACACGTCCTAGCTTGAGGACTAGCCTGGAAGGAAGGGACTAGCTTGAGGGCCCCATAGTGGTTCTTGGTGAAACCCCAGGCCAGGGTCCCACCTGGAAGAGAGATGTGGAGACAGACAGACACACAACGTAAACACACAGGTAATCTCAACTCAACAGATTCCTCTTACAGGAACAAGTTCACTAGCCTAGACTTCTTTTCTACAGCAAACCAAAGATCTGTCATGGTTTTCATACTAACA